CGAATGTTTTGTTTCAATATGAGTTCTTAGCTGTAGGTCTCTAAGTCGTACATGATGTGTTATTCTACCCGAGTTTGCACGATGTAGTTGTATAATTACTTTCATATGATGGCTTGGGAATGGCCGATGTATTTGTAATTAAGTTCTGATCAATATATTTCATATTTACCGATCAAAAAAAAAAAAAAAGTAGGGCCATACAATAACCCACAAGAAACATACAATTATTATAGCCTTCCCTTTTGTCATTCACCGGTTAATGCTGCTCACAAATGGGGCGGTCTTGGTGAGGTATTGGGTGGAAATGAGCTTATTGATAGTCTGATTGACATAAAATTCCAAAGTTCGTGTATGTGGATCTCTGAACTCTGGCGCGCCTTCAGTATTGTGTTTCTCTATGATGACATTCATTATGTTTGTATTTGGCAGAACCTGTGGACAAGACTGCCATTTGTGAACTTGAGCTTGACGAAACAAAAGTCAAAAATTCAAAAATGCTATTGAAAATAGTTACTGGTTTGAATTCTTCATGGGTATGTTTCATGGTTATTCCTCTATTTATCTTTTGCATGAATGATGGTAGATAAATTTATGTCTCTTAGAAGTAAGAAATGTCATATAACTGATATGAAAACCATGATATCATGTCCCGTACTGCCTTTTCAAATAACTAGCACCAGGTGCAATTACGTTTACACAATCAAAACCATTTAAGTTCTTGTGGGAAGTCTCTATTTCGCCTCTAGATTAGGAATTTTTGTTGGATAATTTAATGCTTTAAATTACTGGATCTTTCATGTTAAATCATCAAGAAATATAAGAATTAAAGCGAAAGTATACCTGAATCTGACATGGTTAATGCAATATGAATTTCGCGGTATGATCTTCCAAATCTACACGCAATCTCATTTTTCTCTCTGTGATGGAATGCAGTAGAGAATGAATAATTCGTTGCGTGTGATCTGGGGACCATAACCTATTTATATGGGGATGCCCTTTGACCTAATTCG